CTCCGGCGATCCTTCCGCCTCAGCCTTCCAAGTAGCCGGAACTACAGGCATGCGCTACCCACCCAGCTGATTTTTTTTTTATTTATTGTAGAGATGAAGTCTCACTGCCCAGGCGGGTCTCAAACCCGCAAGCAACTATTTAACAAAGTATTTTTATAGCTTAATGTACATATGAAAACGTACACAGACATACATACATGTTCATATGTTCACGGAGTTAATATATAATACGTGTTTAATAATATAATAAATTAATGCACATAGATTTGTGGGTTTGAATTAATGGATAATCTGCTCTAAAAACGAGTCTCAAATACCTTCTGATTTTAGTGTGTGTGTGTGTGTTTTTTCCCTGTGTGCATCTGTAACCCAAGGCGGGTCACCCCCTTGGGTCCTCTCCCACTCTGGGAGCTTTTCTGTCCTCTTAATAAATCCTGCTTTCTGGAAAAAAAAAATTCCAAGTGGATGCCTGTCAGGCAGAGATGATAGCATCTTGCCTAGTTACTGAATACCCCACTAACAGGCAAAGAGCTCTCAGTTGTTATTGTAACTTTTTATTTTGCTCTCTGGCATATACATACATTGTTTACCTGGAGAGGATGTGGAAATGTATCTGGGGTGATGGACTGTTTCTTCTGTTTCACTTTCATAATGCCTGCCCTTGGCTTTCTCCTTCATCTGTCTGAGAGCCGTTGCTGCTTTCAACCTGCTCCCGCTATGGAGGGTGGGACTGCTGGGGAAGCTACTTATGGAGCCCATTCCCTTACTTTTTCAGTTTGGGAACTGTTTCTTCCCCCCGCCGGCCCCGTGCATCCTCAGCATCTTTGTGGTCTGTGCACGTAGTAGTACTCAGTGCAGCAAAGGCTCCCCAGGTTCATGTGGGATTTTGCTTGAAATCATCTCTTGGGACTTTCTTGCTAGAAATGATTATTTTAGAGAGATTGAACAGTGTTGTTACTGGTACTGAAGCGTATGTGCCTTTGAGTAATTTTTTTTTAAAGTTTTTAAACAACGTTTATTAGAGAAAGAAGAGAGAAAAGAGCAGAGATATGCCAGAGCTGGCATGGGCGAAAGAAATTGCCTCATTTGAGTAATTTAACTGTGGCAATCTCAACAGTTTTCTGTCTAGGAAAACTTCCACAGTTAAAAACAAAGTCTGGTCATAGTGTATTTTTAGAAGAATTTCATTTGTTAGAGGTATTTTTTCTGTTCTTCTTCTGTAATATAGGTTATAATACCATTTATGTTTTGCTTTCAAACAAGTTTTTCTGTTTTCATTACAGCTTTATCCTTGGCTGGCTTTCTAATAATATCTAAACAAGAGTATATGTCAAATTGGTGACAAAAGAGTATTGGTCAAATTGGTGACAGCTGGGAAACAAGTAATTGAAGTCTGTTTACTTTTCTTTTCTTTTCTTTTCTTTTTTGAGTTGGAGTCTCACTCCATCTCCCAGACTGGAGTGCTGTGGCATGCTCCTGGTCACCGCAGCCTCAACCTACTGGGCTCTGGCAATCCTTCCACCTCAGCCTTCCAAGTAGCTGGAACTACAGGCGCACGCTACCATGCCTGGCTAATTTTTTATTTATTGTAGAGACGAGGTCTTGCCAAGTTGCCCAGATGGGTCTCGAACCTGTGGGCTCAGGCATTTCACTTGCCTTGGCCTCCGAATGCTGGTATTACTGGCTGAGCCACTGAGTCTGGCCAAGTCTGTTTACTTTTCAATCAAAAAATTCAAGAATACAGTTTTTTTCTTCTTTATACACAAATCTGTTTAAATAATAATAAGACTCTTGTGACAACTAGTGTGCAAGTTGCTTTCTGGTGTTTTTAATTAAATTGAAAATGGTGGAAGTGTTGGGGGTATCTGTAGGAGGGAGAGGATTGTTCTGTCTCAAAGGTCATTGTTTTTTTCTTGAATTCTTCCTAATTCTTCATCCAAAGACACGCTTATAGTCATGATTTGTATTTTTGAAGAATATTGGATAACTTTAAAACCATGTGGCACAATCCAAATTTTACTCTTTAAATACGTACGTGCTTAGTATCTAAGTTAATACATACAGGAAAACCATATACAGAAACATTAGTGATGACTAATCTTGGAATTATAGGTGAGCATTTTATTGCCAGTATAGTTGCAGTTCATATATGTGTTGGTTGTCAAGTAAGCTTGAAAATATTCCTAATATAATGTTAAATATATTCTTGTCTCTGCATTTTGATATGTTCCCCCTGCATAAATCTTCTTTCAGCCTCCATCCTGTATGTATATCACTGAGAATTATGTTTTATTTTGCAGGGAATACTGGGAAGGAAATTTGTTAGAAACTAGGTAGCTTTTCAGTTTTTATTGTTTCTGTTAGATTCATTTCAACTGTTGCTTTTTGTTTAGTTTGTTCAATATAAAAACACACCAAAGTAGCTGGAGCTATAGACACATGCCACCATGCTCGGTCAGCTTTTGTGACTTCTTGTAGAGACTTATTGTAGGTCTTACCAAGTTGTACAGGCTGGTCTCGAACCCCCAGGCCCAGGCTGTCCTCTTGCCTCTACTTCCCAAAGTGCTGGGATTACAGACTGAGCCACCACAACTGACCTCTTTCTTTTTTAATGATCATTTTTGGTTCTTTGCCCCACTTAACCTTTGGCATCTCTAATTCATTCAGCAAATATTTATGAAGCAGACCCTATTTGGGGTGGTGGAAATGTAGCATTGATCAAAACAGACAAAAGTTCCTCTTAAGGGAGGTTACATTCTAATACTCTTCATTCCTTATTGTAAAGAAGTTTTTAGAGCACAAAAATCATTTGTGGACCAGACACGGTGGCTTATGTTTGTAATCCCGGCACTTTGGGAGGCCAAGGTAGGAGGTTCACTTGAGCCCAGGAGTTTGAGACCAGCCTGGGTAACATAGCAAGACCTCAGCTCTACAAAAAATTTTTAAAAATTAGCCAGGTGTGGTGGTACACACCTGTAGTTCTAGTTACTTGGGAGACTGAGGTGGATTGCCTGGACCCAGGAGTTTGAGGCTGCAGTGAGCCATGATCTTGCCTCTGCACTGCTGCCTGGGCGACAGAGTAAGACCCCAGTTTAAAATTTAAAAAATTATTTGTGAATTCTTTCCCGTGTGTGTGTGTGTGTGTGTGTGTAGGTGGGAATCTTACATCTTGCCCAAGCAGGTCTTGAATTCCTGGGCTCAGGCTTTCTGCCCGGGCCTCCCAAAGTGCTGGGATTACAGACTAGAGCCACTGTGCCTGGCCCATTTGGGAGTCCTTCAGCAACTCTGTGTGAAATCTAGGCATGGAGTATGACTCATCAAAATCAGGAGCTGATAGCTGTACTCATCAGTCATGGTATTTCTTCCTTCTTGTCATCTCCGTAGGTTAATATTCTCTACAGGATAGATTACTGTGTAAAACCCAGTAGTCATTTTATTTTTTTAAATTTTTACTTCATTTTATTATAAAGATGTGGGTTACAAGTCAGGATTAGGTTCATAAGTATTCTACGAGCAGGTGAAGTTTGGGCCTTCAATTGGTCTTCGCTTCGCCTACTTTAGGACCAGGTACCCTTTGATCAGTAGTCATTTTAAAGCCCAGGACTTACTAATATTATTATTAGACTAATAGATTATATTATTTATTTTTTTAAATGACTAATTACCATGCTGTTTTGAGTTTTTTAGAGACTTGTTGCATCTGTATTCTGCCGTTTCTGAAGGACTCAATGAATCTTTTCTCTGCTGTTTATTTACTAGTAGTAGCACATGATTTTGGCAAGTGTTTTAAGCTGTATGTAAATCAGAGGTGATAATACTTCCTGTAAAAAACATTAGTGCTTTCTCTTATTCATAGTTAGCATTAGTACCTTTTTTCTTTCTTCTCTAATCACAGTTACTTTGTTATAAAAGAACTTACACTCTGTTGAGTCTATAATATTATCCGGCAACTCATTCTTAGCTTTTAGGACTTTGTGGTCCTCACGGGAGCATACCAACCACGCCTCCCATCTTTGGAGCCCCAGGGCCACTGTCGTGTTCTCCTGCCTACTGGGGTCCTGTTCTCTTGGACTTGTGTGATTAAATATCAGTTCATTCAACCAGAAGATTCCTTTTTGGATATATTTGTCAGCTCAGCAGTTCTACTTGATTTATTACCAAAAGATATCACCATGAATCAGCAGCATGAAAGGTGGTGTAGTCATGCTTACAAAAGCAGCCAAAAGAGAGTAACAGGCAGTGTTACCAGCAAAAGAAGGCACAAGCTTAAGAAAGCAAGATGTGGCTAAAGTGTCTACCGAAAAGGAGGGAAAACGTGATTTTTTTGCCTCCTCCTCCCTTTGTCTTTATATAAATCATAAATCGATTTTCTAAAATGCTCTCTGTTTTCTTTCTGGGTACCTTTTCTGGGGAGAAAACATTGACCAGGTCCTTCATGCTGTTGACTTTGAGGCTTTACCTACTAGCCCAACATTCTCCATCAGCTTCAAAACGTGGAGGACTAATTGGGAAGTCCTGATTGATAAGCCAAGGTGTGCATTAGGACTGAGTTGGTTGTCTCCTCAGAACAGTTTCATTAGCTCAGATGAATCATTTTAATTTTTTTCAACCTAAAATTGATAGAACTAGTAAGTATCCTAAATAGTGTGATGTTAATTACATCTTATAAAGTGTTACAGAAAGATTGTAGGTCGATTTGTGTTGATAATTCTAGGCATTTATGCAGTAAACTGTTCTTAAAGTAATGACCTCATAAGAACTATGAAGACATCTTAGCCTTTAGTTTTTGATCATGTATGAAAGACAGTAGACTTTGTGTGCGATATTCAAAATAATGTGGAGCACAGCTGTTTTTCTTTAGAATTCAAAAACCTACTTAGTATTTTTATTTTTTAAAATAACTAGTAAATAAATATGGTTTTACAAATTTTCATTTCAGTTGCTTTTGCCAAGAGTAAGTTATTTGACGTTGGTAACTGACAAAGTGAAAAAGCACTTTCAGAAGGTTATGAGACAAGAAGACATTAGTGAGATATGGTTTGAATATGAAGGCACACCACTGAAATGGTGAGTGAATTTTTCTGCATTATTAAGCATTAAATATATGCTAGTTTTAAAAAGGTATTGTGCCCTGAACCAGTTGTAAGAAAGTTCCATGAAGAGGGAAATCACTAGTCTAGTTCATATAATAAACGAAGTTTACACCATTATTCAAACTTAATTTCAAAATTAATTAAATATTTAATTGAAAATATTTTTGCCTTCTATAGGATGTATGGATGACTGGACAAGTTCATATATTTTCAACAATAGATTTTTATATGGTACAATAAGAATCTAATTGTTTATAGGGGTTTTTCCCCACATTTATTTAGAACTTCCTTATGAATAAGTCATCTCTGTGACACTATTCAATTTTATTTCATCTCTAAAATATTTAGAACAGGTCTTTATATGCATGTGATTACCTAAAGTGGTATTGTTTAATGTGATTGCCACATTTCGCTGACCACCATGCCATAAGCACATCTTGACTAGGCTTGGGTTAGAGTATTTAAAATGTATTGGTTTTTCTCTTTTACTTGAAAAATAATTTTGATATTATGTATTTTGAAGAAGAGTATTTAAAATAAATTCTAAATTTGGGCTTATCCATGTGTACGTGGTTTTTGTACACCCTCTGTTATTGAGAGTTTTGTTCATTGTGCTTCCAAAAATATTTAATGTAATTGTGGCAGTTACAGAGAGAATAATATAAATAGTTCAAGGTATGCTGGGATGTTGATGGTGAAATGCTGCCGTTTGGATGCAGTTGAATGAAAAAGATACAGACTAAGATAAGATTTAAATGAAACATTGAAACATGTAAATAGGTTAAAAATAGACCTGCTCTCTGAATCTAGGAATATTAAAATGAAGAGTTCTTAAGAGAGCTTTAGGACAATTACAAGAAAGCCAGTTAGGTGTTTAATAAATGTAGCTGATGTCAATCTATGGACTACTTATTAGCAAGAAGTGGAATTTTTGGAACTTACCTTGTGCTGATGAGATCCCAAGAGTGAATAGATTTTTGCATTGCATTTTGAATAGGTATTTTGCATTGTTATGGGTCAAGCTTCTAATCTTATGAAGTAGTTTTTGGGAAGTGGTGACAAAGTTGTCTTAGGATAGCATTCTTTTAAAAATCAAAACAATATGATCATATATCAGTCTCCTTATGGCTTTTGAGTAGTTCTAGACCTCAGGCTGCATAGAGAAGGCAGTATTTTCTATTACTTTTTATTTCTCAGAAGAATTGGAGATTTGGGGAGGGCAAGGTGGCTTAAAGTGTGAAAGGAGCAATGATCAGAAAAGTAGAAAGAAGGAAGGAGGGAGAAGATTGTGGAAGATGAGTAGCAGTGAGATTTATCTGTGCACGTGACACAGATAAATTAATTGTATTGCTTTGTATGTATCAGTTATAGATTATTATAAGGTTTTGTGTGATGAGACTTTTCAGTTCTTTTGTTGTAAGGCAGGATTTCTCACCAGGGTCACTACTGACGTTTTGAATTTGATAATTCTTTGTTGTGGGGCCACCCTGTATGTTATAGGATATTTAGCAGCAGCTCTAGCCTCTACCCACAACTGCAGTAGCATTCCCTCCAGGCTTAATAATCAAAAGTGTTGCCAGATATCCCTTGGTGGAGGCAGAACCGCCTACAGTTGAGAAACTCTGGAAAATTTGGGGAGCCCCAATTTAGCTTGTAAAGTAAGTGGCTGCTGAGTCATCTTTCAGTTGCTGTTTCATTCTGTCCTGTGTGGTGGTTATTCTTGTATTCAATATGGCTTATGTTTTATAGGTGTGTGTTCTAGTTTGATGGCAGTAAATAATGTTTGGACCCTTTTCTCCCTGTCACTGCAGAACAGTGATTTGGGCTTAAGCATACTATGTTCTCACTCTGTTAGTATGTATCCCTTTGGAAAGTCTTTTATTCAAGAGTGAAATCCTTTCCTTTTTAGAGGACTTAGGTAAAAGTAATTGCATTCAAGTGTCTTCATTTTAGCTTTTGCATTGTTAACTTTTTTTTTTCTTCTGAGTTGGAGTCTCACTCTGTTGCTCAGACTGGAGTGCAGTGACAGGCTCATGGCCACCACAGCCTTGACCTGTTGGACTCAGGCGATCCTTCTGCCTCAGCCTTCCAAATAGCTGGAACTACAGGCGTGTGCCACCATGCCTGGCTAATTTTTTGATTTATTGTAGAGACGAAGTCTTGCCAAGTTTCCCAGGCTGGTCTCGAACCCCTGGGCTCAAGCAGTTTTCTTGCCTCTGCCTCCCAAAGTGCTGTGATTACAGGCATAAGCCACATGCCTAGCTATGCATTGTTCACTTTTTAAATGTGATATCACTTTCATAGTTATATCATGCAGTAAACTCTTGATATCTAATGACTTCTGATCCATTTTTTCTTTTAGTGTTTTTAGGTACTCTGTGTAAGTGAGGAATGAATAACTTCCAGAGGCATAAATGTTATCTTGGGCCTCTGTGCTAAGTCTTGATCTCATCTCTTTCTGCTTCCAACAGTAGCAGTTTTCTCTTATGTTATAAAATTGTCTTCCTGGAAATAGGCTATTAGTATAAGAATCTATCTGACCTTTAAGCAGTGGGCTTCATGGGTGGGGATAATCCTATGAATTTCCATCAGTGTAGGGAAGTAGCTGAACTGAAACTTTCAAGGCTGACACTTTTGAGACCATATTAGTGGAGGAGAATTTATTTGAGTAGTATGATAATGACTTTCCTATATTTATTCTTTGGGGTTTTAAGTAAATTTAGCTACGAGAGAAAATTAAACACCAGTTTAGACAATTCATAAAAGAGGAAAATTGATTTTCCTTCTCTCTTTATGACTTTGCCTCTGATTTTGTCTCCTAATTTTATTACTTAGGTTTGTCTTTTCATATAAGGTGACAGTTCTCAATGATAAGAGAAAGCAAACTGAAGTCCTAGACAAATTATGACTTTTATCAGATGGTAAAAATATGATTTTATCTTCCTGTTAGTAGAATTTGGATAGTTTGGGGGCTTTGTTTTAAAATAAATGCTTAGTTTTAAATTTGGGTTTTTTTTTTTTTTAAGAAATAGCATTTGTAGTCAAATTAGCAGTTATAAATAATAGCAGAATGGAGTCATATTTAAAGGAGGTTGTTTTTCCCTTTATTGTTAATTGTTTACTATTCTTTGTTCTATTTGTCTGACATATTTTGTGTTCTCAAATAAAAGTGATCCCAAATATATAATTTGTGTGGAGTAAAATTCACCTTTTTTGGAGTGCAGTTTGATGAATTTTTTTTTTTTTTTTTTTTTTTTGAGTCAGAGTCTCACTCTGTTGCTCAGACTGGAGTACAGTGGCACACTCACAGCCACCGCAGCCTTGACCTGCTGGGCTCAGGCGATCCTTCCGCCTCAGCCTTCCAAGTAGCTGGAACTACAGGCATGTGCCACTATGCCTGGCTAAGTTTTGATTTATTATAGAGATAGGGTCTCACCAAGTTGCCCAGGCTGATCTTGAACCTGTGGGCTCAGGCAATCCTCTCACCTCGACCTTCCAAAGTGCTGGGATTATAGGTGTGAGCCACTGTGCTCGGCCAGTTTGATGCATTTTTAAACCATTGTATACAGTGTAGCAACTACTACAGTCAAGAAAATGGGATCTTTCTGTTGTCTCACAAAGCTCTCTGGTGCTCTGTGTCAGTCATTCCCCTCCTACCCCCAGCTCCCAGCACTAACTCATCTGGTTTCCATCTCAGTTGTTTTACCTTTTCCAGAATGCCATATATACGGAATCCTGTAGCAGAAAGTCCTTGTGTCTGACTTCTTTTCTTCTAGTAGAGCTTTTGAGACTCATCTTGGTGGTTGCATATTATCAGTGGTTTCTTCCTTTTTATTGTTGAATGGGATCCCATTGTATGGTTGTACCACAATTATTTATTTATTAACTGATGGCTGTTGGATTTTTTTCCATTTGGGAGCTATTATGACAAAAACTCCTGTAGACCTTTACCTGAGATCTTTGTATGCTAAACTATATATACTGCAAAAGAGAAGAATTTAGTTTTGGTTTCTGCATGTTCATTGTTAGTATGAGTCTGTAGAAATATGATTGATTTTTGTGTTCTGCTCCCTTGCTGAACTCAGTTATTCCAGGATGTTTTTTGTTTTGTTTTGTAGATCCCTTGAGATTTTCTATGTAAACAATAATGCTGTTTGCAAACAAATTATTTTTACATTTTAACCTCTAGGCCTTTTTTCTCTTTTTCTTGCCTTATTGAAGTGGCTAGCACTTCTAGTACCGGGTTGAAAAAGAGTGGCAAGAGTGGACATCTTGTGATGTTTTCAGTATTGGGGCAATGTATTAGTCTTTCAGAGCTAAGTGTGCTCTTAGCTGTAGGTTTTTTGTAGATGCTTTTCTTTTTTTTTTGAGTTGGAGTCTTACTCCTGTCGCCCAGGCTGAGTGCAGTGGCATGCTCATGGCCTGTAGACAAGGTCTCACCAAGTTGCACAGGCTGATCTTGAACCCCTGGGCTCAGGCAATCCGCTCGCCTTGGCCTCCCAAAGTGCTGGGATTACAGACTGAGCCACTGTGCCCAGCCTGTAGATGCTCTTTAACAAGTTGAGGTCATTCTCTTTCTAACTTGCTGAGAGTTTTTTTTTTAATGAATGGATGTTGGATTTTGTCAAGTGCTTTTTCTGTGCTAATATGATTGAATACATTTTCTTTATTTAAGCTTGTTGCTATAATAGATTACATTTGTGGATTGTTGATGACCAATCTTACATACCTTTAATATATCCCATTTAGTCATGGAATGTAATTAATTTTATACATTGTTGGATTGAGTGTACTGATATATTGTTGAGGATTTTTGTCTTAATTTCATGGGAGAGATTTTCTGTAATTTTCTCTTTTTTTGTACTGTCTTTGTTTGATTTGTTATTAGGGTAAGATGTCCTTATAAATTGAATTGGGAAGTGTTCTGTCTTCTTGTGTTTTCTGGCAAAGATTATGTTAAAATGCTGTTAATTC